TAGTAAGGCCAGGAGCCCCTAGTAGCGTCCTTGCTCCTAGTAGCGATTACCTTTGTTACTAATAGCTTCTTGTTCCTAGTAGTATGGCCAGGAGCCCCTAGTAGCGTCCTTGCTCCTAGTAGCGATGACCTTTGTTACTGGTAGCGAACATTGCTGATGAAACTCACAACTGCCGGGCAGCCGTTGAGGTGGTCACTGTTTCTGTGGTACTGGTCGAGGTGGTGCTGGTGGACTGGCGGGCAATCTACACTTGTGATCACTCATGAGTTAGCGAATCGCCAAAGAAATCACAGTAACTGTAGCAACTGTAACAACACAGCTGTCTACTGTAATTGTATAAGGCTGCGAATTGGTTTTCCCAATCTCAGCAAGAGAAGGGCACCGTCGACGATGTTGTCGTGGAGGAGGTCGAGGTTGAGGACGTTGTGGAAGAGGATGTAGATGTTGCTGTTGTAGAGCTGCTAGTACTGGATGTGGTGCTTGTGCTTGAGGTGCTAGAAGTTGACACCTGAAGGCATACACAGTACATGTTCACACTCACTCTTTCTGAGCCCTACAGCTGCTCTTCATCATCCCGTTCATGCCAACTCGTCAGAAGCAAGAAACTGTGCTTGTCGTGGCAGTAAGTGTTGTTGAAGAAGTGGAGGTGGTGGAAGAAGATGAAGATGTGGTTGATGAAGATGTGGTTGATGAAGATGTGGTTGATGAAGATGTGGTTGATGAAGATGTTGAAGATGAAGAGGTAGCAGTGATGGATGTAGACGTTGTCGACGAGCTTGAACTTGATGAGCTTGACGAAGAGGAGGAGGAAGAGGATGAAGAGGACATGGATCTCAGAGTTCATGTTTACTTGGCACAGTCGTCACCCCCAGTGCATATAACTTCTTCAAATGTTTACCCTCTGATAAGAGAGTTGTGAAACTGCAAACCTTGGAGCTAAATCTAAACGTGTCTTCACGAGCAGCGTGTATTCTCCCAAACAAAGCTACATAAGTGTCCATTTGCTCATGTGCTATTTCCAGCTGAACCAATGCTACCATGCTTCGACGAACTTGTACTGGATGAGCTTGTGCTTGAAGAAGTGGTCGACCTAGTTCCATGTCAAGACAAACAGAATACAAAGAAACACAATCTTTTGGCCTTTGGCAATCCCCTAATAGCAATAGCCTCCAACCTACTAGCGATCAACCTACTAGTGATGGCCTCCAACCTACTAGCGATGGCCTCGAACCTTTAACCTGACCACGTTAACTTGCGCAAAGTCCTGGCAACTGAGCGTAGAGGGCCACAAACCCTCGATAAACCCCAAATGCTTCTCAAGGCCTTCTGGCTTCGTTGCTACTGAGTAACTGGTTACGATGATAGTCATGCAGCAGGTTCGTACGTGCAAGAGTCTTTGTAGGCATCACTCAACCAAGACTTCGGGAAACCGAGTTTGCGACGAGCTAGATGTGGAGGAACTTGTCGAAGTGGAGGAGCTGGAAGTGGAAGTGCTGCTGGTAGAAGTGGAAGTTGAAGTAAAGGAGCTTGTGGTCACGGTGATGGTGGTGGCAGTGGAAGAGCTTGTTGTGAAAGTAGTCAGACTGGAGGAGCTAGAGGAAGTCGTAGTAGAACTTGTGGTTGTGCTGGAGGAACTTGTACTCGTGGAACTTGTACTCGTGGAACTTGTACTTGTGGAACTTGTACTTGTGGAACTTGTACTTGTTGAACTTGTACTTGTGGAACTTGTACTGGAGGAACTTGTGGTGGAGGAGCTTGTTGAAGTGCTTGTCGTCACCTCACAAACGCCCAGGCGCGTTTCATCACCATAGTCTTCACATATACATTTAATGTAACCCCTATTCCCCCCGCTCTCTGCGGCTTGGCCACGCTTGAAGTGGTCGCTGCAAGTCGTCGTACCTTGTCGTCAGATTCAGCTCAAGTCCCCTAAATCAAGACCAGCTGCAGGAAGAAAAGCTTGAAAGTACACAAATAAGCTTTACGGTTGATACAGTACTTCGATGAAACATATGATTTAAATTGCAGCTCTGCCTCGGCCTCTTCTTCCATGTCATAGGAAAGCCGCCGTGATCCCGTATCCTGGGAGCACAACAAAGGGAGGGTATGAGCATGTTCTTTGCAGCAGCATGTGCTTTATGACCTGACACACTCAATTGAGTCCGACACCAAAATTCTATCTCCACAAAACTAGAGGTGTTTCTGCACAAAGAAACGGATCCCGCCTCGTCTGTCATATTCGGAAGTTCCGTCCAATAAAGCACATAGTGTGTGAGTAAGGTCTCATCAGTGCGGGCAAAAGTGATGTAGCCTCCCGCTCTGATATGGTAAAGGGAGGATCAAAGGTTTGACAGACCATCAGAGGATCATTCTGTCCATAGACTGCAAAACAGTACAAAAAGCTGATCTGCCTCCCAGCTCATCAACATCGAGATCCTGAAATCACATCAACTCTTGGGAACTCCAAAGCAACATCCCAGATTCACTGCAGTCCTGATCTAAGAACTCCATGGTGTCCACCTCAAGTGAAATTGACCAACAGTTCGGTAGATAAGAAAAGAAAAAACAATGATAAAATACCATGAGACCATGACTGAATTGCATTCTAATTCCAACGAAACGTAGGCTCGGACTGTGAGATAAGTGTCCGAGATCGTCTGCACAAATGGAGTGGTCATCTCAAAGAGGGGAGAGCGGACATAGAGCAGCACATGAGTCCAGTTCTGGCATCGGCTCGTTTCATCTCGTTTTCATTCACCGAAGTCCGCCGGACTCGATACTAGTAGCTTCTTGCTACTGGTAGCGATGCCAGGAGCCCCTAGTAGCGTCCTTGCTCCTAGGGCCAGGAGCCCCTAGTAGCTTCTTGCTACGTCTTCAAACAGAATTAGAAACCGGCACTTCTAACACCCAACTTGAATCTGCGACAGAGGTGAGGTGCATGCAACCCCTTTTCTGAGCCTCAACGGGAGTGTCAACCCACACGTCCACCCGATTGATGCCCACTGGCACCTTGGAAAACATGTGCGTGGCATGCACAAATCACCTGTACATGATGTCATGAGCCACGGCCAGCCTCTGCACCCATCTGTGAGCGTCCTTCGCCGGTAGCTGACTGGGCCAAGTAAAGCACATAGTACTCAGTGCCTTGGCAAGATTGTTTCATCTGCAAACTTGTGTTTTACTTCAATCAGTACAAGTCGGGAAATCTACAATCAAGCCGAAGATCGGTAGATGTACGGCGGTGGATTGAAGAAAGATGGTCCGCCTGAGTACAAGCAACTCTAGGAACGCAAAAAATGTTACATGTTGAATGAAAACAAATTGATGTGTGTGTGTGTGTTTTTTTCAAACGGCTAAGCTCGGAACCTATCTCACCAAGGTCGAAGTCTCGGTCGGTCCAATAAAAGTCTGTGATGTTTGCCTCGGTGGCTTTGACCAAAATGACAAAAGCAAAGCTTTTTCTTATCCGACAACCATTTTGATTTTTTTTTTGTCAAGTCAACCTTATCCGGCAGAAATTAGGGAAGCGGCAAAGGCGTCGTAGAACTCATGCGTCACCGGAGTACTCTGCTCCCCGAGCGAGGAGTACGAGTGAATGTTGATGTACCTAGCAAGCCAGTAAGGCCCCTTTCTGATGACTTTCCTTTCCGAAGGTATCACATTATAGAATTGTAGCATCGCCCTGCCTGTTGGCTGCAACAACCGTGTTCTCAGGCACAATGAACTGGGTTTTGGAAACCTCAGCAATATCTTCCCTGACTCAGTACAACCACACAAAGCCTGTCCGAGCTTATCAAAGGTACCAGTATTTAAACCAAAAATACTTCACAGGAACCCAAAGAAGTCTGAAACTATGCCTCAATTGGCATCTTTCAGTCTCCGGCGGATACGCTGTCGATCTGCGTGCGTACAGCGCTGGAAGTGTCCTCCTCAGCCAAATTACGTGATTTTGCAAAGCGGGGAGGCGGGGAGTTCCTCAAGCGTGTTCTGATGTTCTCTGTTTCTCATGCGCTGCATGAAATGAGAGATGGATCAGCCAGTCAAGCATTGTTAGATAAAAGACTGTCAAGACACGGCCACATAGATCCGGTATCCAACCACTCGTCCAAGTATGCTTGGAAGCTGCCAAACCAGCTCTCCGCCAAGATCTCCATCATCCAGGTCCTGAGCATCAAACGTGCTGCAGGCACCCACGCGAAGGACTCTTGAAGATCTCGCGAAAGAAAGCCGCTAGCTAGTGCATTATTTCTTGTAATTGTTCTCCTTCTAAATGACAGCAAGCACAACTGCTGCTACCAAGCCGCATCGTCGGTGAGATTCACCTCCTTCACCGAGGCATTGTCTGCTGCTCCGGCAAAAGACAGGAAGCTGGGAGTGGTGGCTTCAGCCAATGCCTGGGCATCATGCAGCAGCATGCAGGGCATTGGCTGGTTTTGGCATGTAAGAAAACGTTAAAAAAACAGAAAAACAAAACATCACAAGGTCAGCAGGAGAGTTTAGAAATCAAACTCTTCACACTGAGGTCCCAACAGACCGAGAAAATACGACAAAATGCGAGAAGGTGTCCCGCAAAGTACCAACTGGCACTTCAAAGGTGTTGGTGCCTTACATGGAAGCCCACTTTGCAATCGGACAGTTCAAAGCGATTGAGTTGCCGTTGCTCTTTCTGCGTACGTTGCAGATTCCAAGGTACCATAAGGCACCTCTCCAAGCTCAATGTAGGACAAGGCTCCAGATGCCTCCAACTCGGTGAGATTGTAGCCTAAGAGGACTCAGGCTTTGCATTCAACTGCATTGCTATCCCTTGGAATCATAATGAAATGATTTGAAATGCTTCAACATTGCTCGTTAAGCTGCTCAGCCTGATCAGCCGACACTTTGCCAAGCAGCCGCTGAGGCTACCCGTCCAATTCACCAGTTGCTTGTTCAAGCCAGCAGCGTCGTCTGCCAAATACACGGCATACCTAAGCCAAGAATCAGTCGTTGGTTCTGGCCCCCTGGACACATCTTCTGAGTCCCCAAATGTTGGGTGTGGCCAAGGTACGTGATAACTTCGTCCGAAACATTCTCAGGAGGTGTCCATTCCAAAGTGCCACTTAGGTCCACAATGTCCAAGTCCTACAACATGGATCAACATGGATCATGAATCATCATGAATCATGATCATTGAGTCAAAAAAGATAGTATATAGGTTGGAGGCCATCTCTAGTAGGTTAGAGAGAGAGAGAGCCATGGCAGAAAATCACAGCTGTCAGTACTTGACAAACGGCGCAGTGCAGTGCATTCACTGCAATACTTCACCACTCCCAAGAAAATACCATGTGTGGTGTCCTCTCCAACCCAAACAACATTTGTGACAGGCATATCCGCATCCGCTATCTTGATGTATGCTGGCGTGGTCTGCTCTGCCCATGTGGACTGTGCGTAGACCAGCACATAGTCCTCGGATCGCGCAGCTGTAGGCTGGAGTACTGAGTACATCCCAAACCATTTATATACTGCACGGGGCCGCACATGGCATCTGCTAAATGTCTCACAGCCAACGGAACAATCGGGCCGTAGTGCTCCTCCCCTTTTGCGATTGTGACAAGCTGCATAAATATAGTCAGTGTTGTTCTCGGAATATCCTTGAATCATTTCTCTATTAAGCTGAATCCAGTAAATCATACCAGCTGTCTCGGAACTCACTATACTGAGCATCCGACCTGGGTGCAAGCGGGTCGTGTCTGCTGGCACATGCACCTCTGTAGTTGTGCCCTGCTCAACGGTAGTGAAATGAAATCCTTGGTCAATCACCAATTTGAATCTCATCACAAATGACACAATGAATCACCAAGTGCGAAATCAATGAAGCAAAACGGAACGAATGGCTTGCTGATTGGGGTGTGCCGCCGAGATGCGATTGGCGCCAGCATTGTCCAGCGAAAAATACACCTCGATCAACTGGTTCTGGCAAACCAAAGCTTCTTGTTCCTAGTAGCTTCTTGCTACTAGTACTACTAGTAGCGATGCCAGGAGTCCCTAGTAGCGTCCTTGCTCCTAGTAGTAAGGTCAGGAGCCCCTAGTAGCTTCTTGCTCCTACTCTCGATGACAACAAACTAGAATCAAGATTGAAATCCTTTGGGTGTCTCCGGTGAAGCGTGTCTTACGCCCCAATTGAATCAAAGGCAAGGCTAGTATTATTATGTGCTGCATTGAATCAAAGGCAAGGCTAGTATTATTATGTGCAGCACGTCAAAACCATGCAATGTTTGACGTTCAGCAACTTTTTGCATCAGATCCTGTTGCCAAACGAACTACAGTATTGAATGCAAGGCACCAGGTAATGTGAAATCAGGCTGGTATCCAGCGATGGCTGCTGCCAGCTGATGTTCCCTCCTAGTTCGTTCACGTCCAGGTCGTAGTCAGTGAACAGGACCTGCAACAGCATGAAAAGCTGTAAATCCAGCAGGCCACAAATAGTTTCTCACTCGAGCCGCTAAAGGCTCGCTAGCTCCACATCTTCTTTCTGATTCTAGTAGCGATGTGTTACTATAGTCATGCCACGAGCTACTAATGGCTTCTTGCTCCTAGTAGCAAGGTCCTTTGTTCCTAGTAGCTTCTTGCTACTGTAGTAATGCCAGGAGCTACTAGTAGCGTCGCAGGACCTACTAGTAGCGTTCTTGCTCCTAGTAGCGATGCCCTTTGTTACTAGTAGCGATTTACATCCTATATCATCCTATATCTAGGTACTGTTCTCCTGGAACAAAAAATTTGTTCATTAGCAGTGCTTCTGTTCTCTTGTCTCACCGAGGTCGTAGTTTGGACTTAAACTGAAAACCAGTGTGAGGACGATTAGAAGGAAACATTGGAAAAAATGCCATTGTTGTTCAAAACATTGTCGATTTGAGATGGCGCATTCTGCTCGCACCTGCTGGGCTTGGATACCAGTGTCTGAGATGGCCAAAGCCGCAGGCGTTGTCTCTTCAACCAAGCTGGTTTGCTGCAGGGCGGGCCGGCTGGCAAATCAAGATACGCAACACTAGTCAGCCAATTCATGTTTCAATGCCTCAAGCATCCTCAAGTCAATGACAGCTTCGAAACTGAAGAAGTGCGAAGGGGCAAAAGGGCACTGCCAACGGCGCTGCCTGGTACACCACGAAGTGAGTCGCTGTGGCTCCAGCACTATCGACCGCCTCCAAAAGCGCAACTCGTTCAGGGATTCTAGGGATCAATTGGGATCATTCACTCGAAAATTCATGAGAACATATGAGAACCCCTTTGTCTCATTGTAAATTTCTGCTGTTTTCAAGAACCCTCAATATAATTCCATTACTCTCGTGCAAATCGATGCAAATTGTGTGAAGCCTTGATTCAACAAAATTGAGGACATGCGTGTGCCTATGGGATCCCCTCACTCTGTTCCGACCAAAGCAACAGTCTCGCAGCGCACCGCTGTATCTGCTGGCACGTCAAAGGTGGTCGTGAAGCGGGCCTCACCTGGCGATTTGCAAGAGCCAAGGCTAAATCGATCAATCATTAGATGTTCATAGTCAGCAGCTAAGCTTCTCTGCCATTCTGAGGTTTTTCAGTCAACTCCAAACACTTTCGCTCTCCGTCTCTGTTGCTGCAACACCCGAGAGCATGAGCTTCCTAGCGTCCTAGCCTGTCGCGTTCGTGAGCCTATTTCGATTGGTTCCAGCTGCGTCTGAGGCCAAATAGACGTGGTAGCTTTCCTTGGTCAAGCAAGAGTTGAATCTTCAATTGGAAGCTCTTAGAGCAGAAGAACTTCTTGTGCCAAGCTGCGACTTTGTACCTGTAGGAGTGTTCCGTCCAGCTCAATACACCACCAAGCTGGCAGGTCAGGTTGAAGCTTTTAGGCAAGCTTTAGGGCAAGTTGGAGGCCATCGCTGTTAGGTTGGAGACCATCGCTTCTAGGTTGGCAACAACTCTCCGGCCTCATCTTGATCCAAGTCCAAATCGGTGAAGGCAAGGTTGCGAACGTCGAATGCTTAGTGCACTTGCGGCTGCGTTCCACAAAAATTGCTAGAAGAGCTGCTGGAATGCTCTTTGATGTGAAGTTCTATCGCTTCGTGTGAAAATGAGTGACAACAAGTTAAGTTTCCCTAAAAATCTAGGAACCAAATCATCAGTGCAAGCGCTATCCTGCGTCCAGCTACTAGAAGCAGACTAGCTACACCTCTTCTCCTCTCTATCCGCCGCCCAACCCCCCCGGCTTTTAAAAGGGGTCAAAGTAAATCAATGCGTGCCCACTCTGTGGCACCCTGACAATCATCTGGGATGTAGCGGGTGGCAGGCCAAGTTTGCTCTTGCAGTGCCTCAGCCAATACAAACGGTTAAACAGGCATAATTGTAATCTCCAGAATGGTGAATTTGACCTCATCTGTGCTTCTGGGTCCATCACAGTAGCAGCATATAGCAATAAGTAGTCACTGGGAGCTATCGATGTCTCCGCTGGCAATTCCACCTGAGGCTGAAACTGGAGAAGGTCAGTCTGTTCCAGTTGCATGCTTCCCACAATACCAAAATCAATCGCAACGGTAGAAAACGACTGGAAGTTTCTAAACAGAGCGATTCTCTCACGCTGACTTCCCTCACTGCAGCTTGTATCACTACAGTAGGTCGCCAGCAAAGTTCCACCACATGGTGGTGCCTTTCAGCTGGTCCTGACACATCGCATGAAATTTACAAGTCACTAGCAATCTGATGATACAAGCAATAGGACCAGAAAGGACTACCACAAGAAACCAATCTCCTTTGTTGGTGTCCAAAGCTCCCAGCCACCCCAGTCATCAGTACCATAACCTGTTATATAATCGGCATCATCATGTTCGATCATTGTTTGTTCTCAAATGCAATCTTTTCCCAGTGACGTGGCTACTCAGTAGTTTCTATGTGTCCATTCCGGCATCATCACTGAAAAACGATCTCAAGTCCCCTGCTGCGGACGAGTTCTCAGAAGTCTTTGTTAACTTCGTCCGTGGAGAGTTGCCGCCAAAAAACTGTGCGTAAGCCGGCCAAAGTAGAGATTGTAGTGGGTGACAAGAGCTTCTGGTACAGATACGTCCTTTGCTGCAACAGAAAGGGTTTACCCGTACCAATCCAATCCGAAAGCCTCTGCTTGAGACTAGTCAAATGGGCAGTGTTTGGCTTTTGTCGATCACACGCCACACGCCTAAAGCAGGAAAGGCCTTCAGGAACCGCAATATGTTCAATGTTGATGATCATAACGATTGTATATGTAAAGCTTGTTGCTGTCAAGCTTCCCACACAACGGTTCCACCAATCTCGCCAAGGTCCAAGTCGAGATCATCGATGTTCAAATTGCTCACCTTGTGCCAAAGCGAGCCAATACTGTAATTGGCATGAACGGTGCATAGCATATGTCTGGTCAAGAAAGCAAGTTGTTCTTCCGCATGAATTCGCCCAAGCCTTTGTTTCCGCATTTCTCTTCTACACACTCACGACCTTGATGACAGTGCCTGAAAGTTGGTGTCGCTAACATTCTTCCATGTAGGCGTCGTCTGTTCTTCCAGGCTTGAAACCGTGTGCACCAAAACCTCAATCGGAAATCACTCTGCACAAATGCAAAAAATTGAAATGTCGCAAATGTAGACTCCCTGATTATGTTTCATCACAGAAAGCTAAGCAACGGTTGTCGGCTGTGTTGGTTGTAGAATGCAGGGTCGCACACCCGCAGTGTAGTCACCTTAAAGCGATGCCGTGCCAAGCGCCTACATCCAAAAATGCGATCAATACATACATAGAGTTTCATTGCGTGACATTGCTTCTATTTTCGGAATCCCCAACTTGATTCTGCTGATTCCTGAAAAAGATTCTGAGTGTCTCTACGTATGCAAGACTTATGTTCGGGGAGCATCATTGTAATTAGAAAAGTAAGGCAATTGTTTGATCAGGTTTCCCACATTGTGTACCCAAATCGAAGGGCTGGTAAAGGTGTGCCTCCACATGAAACAATGCTACGGCCACTTTGGTTACGGGCCCAATCTTCAGACCAACAGATTAATGCAAATGCCTGGTCGATTACCTGTCAACAACCCTCGTTCTACTTCTACTGTGTCTTTACATGTGACGATGCACGAGTGCGCATGTGATTATGGCAAGCTTTTCGGGCTGAACTCCCAAAGCCAATTTCCCACGAGGAGCAATATGGTAGCGCTGTATCGGCGGCCACGCTTGCCTCCGATGTACCAACTGACACCTCTGCAGCTGCAGATATCCTGCCAATCAGCAAAGGTGGGCACACTCACTGGATCTCCATGAAACTACACAAACGAGCTTAGGAGCCCAAGCTATGCAAACTTTTTGATGCACTGGTCGGATGTACAGAAGCGCCTGTCAAGACCCCGCTGATTCATTGCAATGAAAACCCTGTAGGCTGAGACCACATCCTGAGCAATGACAGACTGCATGGTGCAAAAAGCAAAGGGACGGACTAATTTAGTAAATGTCATTTCATGACTAATTTAGTTTGTCTCCAAATCACATGTCCCTTTGCCGGTAGGGACAGCCAAGCGCTATGCCAAGCTTCCAGAAAGTGCTCCGGCTCATCCCAGGTGACCGTTCCTCTCTGCATGATGCTACTGACAAGCTACCTTAAACCTAAAGCAATGGCCTCCAACCTACTAGCGATGGCCTCCAACCTAAATGCAATCATGCTGACAAGCTAATCATGCTAATCTTGCGCTCTTGCCTCCGACTTCGTTTACATCCAGGTCTTCATCGGGGAAGCTAATGTTGGACACGCTTGCATTCGCGTCTGCGATCTCAAAGGCTGTTGGGGTCCTGACTCTGCCCACTGGCGGAAGCACCAGCGAATCGCTTGCCATTAAAATGATGCACAATGACATGAAGGAACTACCGTACAGTGTCACAAAACCTTACCACAGAGTCGAATCGGTCCTCATCTCCACAGAGGCAGAGTGCGAGTAAACAAGAAGATAAGTCATTTTGGCCTCGCCGTTTAGGATTTGTCACATGTCATGTTTAAAAGCCCCAGGGCAAAGCATCAAAACCTCAAAGTAGCGGACTCACGTGCCTGTGGAAAGATGTGTGGACCCAAGTCCACCCAGTCGGTGGAGTTTCCTCGAAAGCTTTCAACCAACGATTTCCCAGAGCAATTCTACTCATGCACAATGCTGCAGGTCATTTTCCAATTAAATTCAAATCTTCTAGGAAAGAAAAGAAAGAAAAAGGACGGACAGAACGAAAGGAAGGAAGGTCTGAAGAAAGGGAGAAAAGGTCAAATCAAGTCTCCTGTTTGAGTGGTTGTTCGAGTGCTCGTTGTACCTATCACTTCAGTGTCCTGGCTGGGTTCGGCGACGGATCTCACAATGCAAGTACGTCCTTTCTTCTTTATCTTTCTTTCTTCTTTCCCTTTTCCTATCCTCTTTTCATTTTTGTAAGACTTTATCACTACATCTTGAGACCTTTCCTTTTCTGTCGTGACATTGCTATCAAGTCTCATTAAACCCCAAGAAGAAGCCCGCAGCAAAAGAGTATGATGCTGTGGATGGAGATAGCTCGCTCAAAAAGAAGCGGTCGTCTCCAGTAGCCTCACTCTCTGCAGGCTTTGACCACGGCCATCTGACGGTGACGCGAAACCAAACTATTTGGTGATTTTCCCAAGCGAATTTGTGCCTGGAAAACAAAACTGCATAACTTACATCATCAACAGCCGTTTCAATCTGGGCTCTTTGCGAGGGCCAAAACTAGAGTTCAATTAGTTGATCCATGTGGAAAGCTGTGGTGCCGTTTCTAAAAGCAATCACAATGTTCCTCTCCTGTATGTTATTGTTCTGGGGGTTCAATAGATTCATAGGTTGCTGTACACAATGCTTCGCACTGATGTCAAAATGAAATTTGCTTGAAGAATGCGATGCCGAATCCCGTTTTGCACCCCTGGATTGTAGGCAGGCAGCGGATGTGGCCAAGTAGAGAGAGTACTTGACAACGGGGCCAATGGTCCTGGTGAGAGCACCAGGAAGGTCTCAGAATTCAACACAGCACCGACTTTATCCCTCCTTGGAATTTGCCAGGTGAGGTCACCGCCAATCTCACCTCCGCTTTCCGCAAAACATTCAAAGTCTGTGATTACGCAAAAAAGATCCAGACCCACCGAGAAACACACCTTCATCGAGGTCAAGATCTATTAAGATCAAGTCGGAGACGGAAAAGTCCAAAGTGGCGCCCTGTCAATTTGTCCGATTCGAAGAGAAAAAATCGAAGATAACAAGTCCCATCTTCAGCTGAGACATTCAGTTTCCAAACAAATTGAGCGATCATGCGGCCTCCAATGTCAATGTACCAGGATACGTAGAGACACAGAGTTGTGATTCCGAGTAAATAGCAATTCGCTCATAGATGCCTCTGGCAATTGAGGGAACCTGGGCCAATTCAGGATTAGAATAGAAATCCTCAATAAGCACGCTGTGGTAATGCGCTGTTGAATCGGGTTTGTTCAACCAAAACTTGCTACGCCCTCAAAGACCTCTGGGATGAGCGGGAATCTAGAGTACCTGATAAAGAGAGACCACATGCTTTAAGCCCTGCACAGTGACATTGGTGCTCTCCTGTACCAAATTTGCCCGCAGGAGCAAATCAGAACCCCCAGCCGCATCCTGGAGCTTTACTTGGTAGACCTTGGTTGAACATGCTGTGTCTTTCAAGGGTGCGATTCTGCAAGCCTCTCAGGAAATGTTCGATTTCGAGAAGCCAAGACTTTGGAATATTCATCAGGGTGATCCCATTCGATGCTGCCCTCCAAATTGTCCAAGTTCAAATCCTCTGCAAAGTAACCTCGGCTTAACACATCATAAAGGTCGTGCCAGAGACCATGGCGTTCACTGTCATTTGAGTTGGCTTTGTCATGGCATAGTTCTGTTGGCTTCATGTTTCCAATTCCTTCCAGTCTTGGCACTGATGTTTGCCACTTTCGAGTATGCGTTGTCCAGTTCCACGATCACAGGATAGGTCTGCTCCTTGGGGCTGATGCAGTCTGAATTTACCAAACTTGCGCTGAGTAATGTTAGGCCAGGAGCCCCTAGTAGCGTCCTTGCTCCTAGTAGTAAGGCCAGGAGCCCCTAGTAGCGTCCTTGCTCCTAGGAGCCCCTAGTAGCTTCTTGTTCCTGCATGTTCAATTGATCAGAACAAATAACTAAGACTGAACTAAGACCTCTTTTGTATCGATCTGAGGCTGTGACAGCAAAAGGAGTGGCACAGTAGATCAGCATGTGGGTGTAGCCCAAAAGCTCCTGTGTCAAAGTAAAGTCAATTTACCCAGAACCCATGACAAAGAATGGTTACATAGTTGTAGTTGCATTTCACGATCACAAAATATGTGAAGCGACCGAGGGCAGAACTGTGTCACAAGGAATCTCAAGCCTGAACAATGGCAAGAATGAGAACTTGAGAAATCCCAAACTGTACTTCGCCATGCCGTATGGCTGTTAAACACAATCTGGACAAGGCGAGTTAAGTTTCCCTAAAGATCTAGGAACCAAATCATTAGTGCGAGCGTTTCTTCAAGGAAGCTTCCCCCGCTGCCTTTAGGGCGGCGGGGGGAGCTTCCTTGAAGAAGCGTGAGCTATCCCCCGTCCATGCTAGTAGCTTAAGTAAGGTAGTAGCTACCGTTCGCTTCTACTAGCTACCTCTTCTCGGCCTACCCCCCCCGGCACGCTAAAGAACAATGGCTGTCCCAAGATATGCCTGGCCTCTGAGTGTCTGAAATGGAGGCAACAGTTGTGGTGGATGTTGTTGAGCTGCTGGTTGTGCTAGTACCAGTGGTTGTGGAGGATGTCGCATTTGTCTCGTTCCAATCTGCGCGTCAGTCTACCACCAAAAGTGGCAATGAGACATAGGGTGCTACGGTGTCCAACAAAAGCAAGAAACGAAGCAATTGCAAATTGCATGATTCCATTAAAAAAAAAGAAGAATACGAACCAAATGAATCATGTGAGGGGTTCTTCAAGAAAGCTCCCCCAGCCCTCAGGCAGGGTGGAGCTGCCTTGAAGAAGCCTGAGGTCTTCTGCGTCCCTGTTTAGTAGCTTCCTTGCTACTTAAGCGACTTCAACCTACTAGCGATGGCCTCGAACCCGGTAGCTTCCTTGCTTCTGCTTACCCCATACTACTAGCTAGCTAGTTACTTGGTCGCTTTCCCCACGGCCTACCACCGGTAAAGAATAGAAATTATAAAACAATAACAGAAAATATAGATAGGAAAGTTGTGGAAGAGTTACTCAGCTCGGTCCTTCTCCAACCTGGGTGCTGGTGGCGAATGATGTCGCCTTGGCAGCAAAAGGGAGAAGACAGGTAAACGCGTTGATCAATGCTCTCAGCTACTGTGAAGAAAACAGAAGGTAAGGCCAGGCCACCTTAAATGGTGCCTTGTTGAAAACGTAGCCTTACCTTATTGTTCCCCTGTATTCTCTGTTTTTCCACACTCTGATATGAGATACATGTCCTTTTTCCCTTTGTGTGTGTGTGTCTCGTCCTTTTCTTTGTGAGGTCCAACATCGTTGCAAACTCTCGTCAGGCCTCCTGGAGATTGTCGTAGGAGACGTTGAAAGCATATGGTGCCCGTTCGAAAATGCCATTCACCTGACCTGGCAAGCAACTAGTGGGAGTGACACGCCTACTTCTCTCAAGCAGCGGCAAAATAAAGAATTAACTTAAGATTGTTGAAAAGTTGGTAAAGCAACTATGAAACCCCTCAAGCTTCTTGCGAGCAAGTTGCGGGCCAAGTACAGAACAAAATGTGTCACCTTGTGTTGAAGCAAGCATCCAGAAGGAGCTTGCTGGCTGGGTCTTGTGCGTATCTTTGCAGCACTATGCCTACGGAGGCTCGTGGGTTGAATATTCCTTGCCCAAAAGGCCAGCCAAGAGACTACAGAAGTGTCTTCCGGAGGGTCATAAGTGAGAACTCCAGCAATGTGGTCATCATCCAGGTCATAGTCAACAAACGATACCTAAGACTTGCGGCAACGAAGTCTCAGAAGACTCGAGCTTTTCTCATGACAAAAAGGTCAATACCTTTTAGTATCGACTTGCCAAGCCGCATTGCTGACATTCACCGCACTGTCAACAAGCTCGATGGCTGTGGGAGTACTTCCCTCTGTAGAACTTGAACGAGTGAAAACTGCCAAGTATGTGGACCTGCGAGGTGAGAATTATAGAGATATGCTGGCAAGGAAATGGATTCAAGCAAGAACGTCTAGGAAAAGGACTGCAAGATGGCGGTGTTCTCTGGAATCGTGGAGGAGAGAGCCTCACAACATGGGCGTCCACTTTCCTATGGGGGTCAATTCTTAATAGTACCAAGCCAGGGCTTATGCAACGCATGTCTTTGGGTTTGACCAAGCGGGGCAGCCAATCGAGCCAATACTGGATGCCCAATGCATTGTCACCCAAGCATTCAGCATGGGTAGCCTGCTTAATCTGTGTCAATCCGCTGTTCTTTTCATATGCAAAGCGGTGGCATCCAAGACCCCGACAGTACCAGGCTCTTCCACAATATCTCGCCGGTCCACCACACCCATAGTGTCTTGAGAGAAGACAACCCTATAGGCCACCTCAACGCAAAATGCCCAATGCACTTGAAGCAAGGCTTGAAGCCTGACACAATCACTTCTCCAAAATTATTGTTCAAGGCTTAAAGCCTGTACAAAATCTGTGGTGAAAGTGGGTACATCCAAGCGGCAATGTTCTCAGTGAGAACTGGCGGCGGTGTCCAAGTCACTGCACCACCAAGTTCTTCATGGTCCAAGTCCTCAAAGTGTGCTCTTCAAGCATGTTGAGAATGATATTCTAAAGATGTAGGAACAACATGGACAACCCTGTTCTCTAGAAACGAGAAGCTACTAGGGGCTCCTGGCCGTACTACTAGGAGCAAGGACGCTACTAGGGGCTCCTGGCCTCGCTACTAGGAACAAGAAGCTACTAGTTGGGCGATCCGAAATCCGCCTTTGAGGTGTAATAAGCTACTATTAACAAGTGCATCGCTTCTAGTAACAAGTGCCTTACTAGTAGTAACAATGTTTGCCAATAGAAACAAAAGGCTACTATTAACATAATTGTCATTGGCAGTTTTCAGGGCCATTGATCCACTGCTTTGCTAGAGTCTGTCTGCGTCTGAGGCCATGGCTTGGTCGATGAACACCAGATCTGTCACACGGCCATCCTGAAAACAAAATAGGAGCAGCAAACATCGTTTGTAACTATATACTTGCGCTACAAACAAAGAGGTGCCTACCTCGTTAAACAACTCTTGTAGAAAATCTAAAGCTCTCACGTTTACATGACCTCGCTTGCACTTGCCAAGATGTCTAGCAAGCAAGAACTTGGACAGCATCACCAAAGGTATTCTTGTTGGGGTCTATTTCGTTCCCAAGGCAATTGATATGTTGAAGAACGAAACAATTAGGATCAAATCTATGTTTGCTCTAATCATAAATATCAGTGCGGTTCTTCACACTCAAAAGACTCTGACCAATTCGTACAAGTCTTGTGACGATTGACAAAGTGATTCTTGGGAGTGACAACGGATTTGACAACTTTTACATGTCACCATTCAAGCCTCGTCCGGAAGCAAGTACGAGAACGGTGTGCTTTGCTCCTGGCAGAACTCGTTCCAGGCGAAGAGCATTAAAACGTGTTTCAAACTCATCCAGTGTTGAGCAGGCAACACCTGCAGGTAAGAGGCCATGAAAAATAGAATGTGGCTGTAGGGTGCGAAGTCAGTCTCAAGCCTCCATCAGAGTCTGACAAGTTTTCGAAAACTGTTCTAATGCTACATCTCTGTGCAAACCAAGTAGCGGAATAGTCAAAGAGTCAACCCCGACAGTATTGGCTCTCGTACATCCGATGATGTCCACCTCAGAGGCACTGCAGAAAGTTGTCGATTCTGACCAGGTCTCAAACGACTCAAACCAAACGGATCATCACCAGAGGGACCCACGCGCATACAAGGATCGGCAAAGAACTCCAGCTGGTTCAACCTGGCAGTCTGTGAGGAATTATAAACACAAACATACGCCAGCGATTGCCATTGCATTGCAGCGGGCTGGCATCTTTGCTGAGATGTGAGGAGACACAGAGAGCAAAGTGCGTTAATCTTGGTGATGTTGGTGATGCTAAACCAGCCAGGCCGGCTTACCGGCATTATGGTCAACAATTCTATCTATGCCAAAAGTTCAAAGAATTGATGCTTGCGGCTCAATGCAGAATTTGCGCCAGCATAAACCCCTAATAATATTTTGGCAGGCAGGCTTGTGTGGTCCCTCGCTCTCTTAAAACCACCAACTGGATCCCAGTAGCCAAGCAAGCAATGCAATGCCAATGGGATCAGGACAGCTCGCTCCGGATGCAAACATGTTCAAGGTGGTTGGACCGCTGACGAGACAGAGCTAATTGGTTTCAGATCATCTTTTGCAAAAAAAACAGATGTGCACCAGCAACAGGTCCTTGCACTCAGAAAGCAATTAGTTTCATTTGCAAAAAGCAATTGGCTGCATTCAAATAGCAAATCAGTGGAACAATTACTTGTATTCGGAAAGCAGGCTTGTTTGTAGACATTCAGACAGTTTGGGAGGTCGACTAATGGCAAAGCAAATCTTTGCTCGGCGAAGAACACCGTCGTGCTGGCGGACAATGTTGGTTTGGATTTGATTTTGCTGACATGGTCCACTTCCAGCCATCGAGAGCAAAACATGTCAATGACCAACAAGACTGTGAGCACTCTGCATGATTGTGAGCAGCTGCAAGCGCTTGCACCATAGTCATCACCTTGTGTATATTGTGTACAGTGCTACGTCTAGGGTGGCTTTTGACGCCTGAAATCTTGGCTTTTCTTTATATTCTGTACTTTTCTGGGGGCAATCATAAAACCGTTCCTTTCTCTACAAACCTCTTTCTCGGAATCTCATTTTTTCGTGATTTTTTATACAGCTCTTTTTGATGTTTTGTTTCACTGCCCTTAGGGCTCCAAGCCCAAGGCCTTTGGCTCAGGCTGCACATAAATAAGGAGCTGAACAATGGTGAAACTAGGTATCCAGGAAAATGCAGGCCAGAATGCAAACATACGCAGAAAATACTCAGTGTCTAAATTGTGGACGAAAACACTGCAATCAATAGAAGGGAGTTAGTTCAGGTACATCAAGCATCAACCAAGAACGTGGAAGCATGTCCATGATAGTCAGCTCAAACGCTGACTCCTGTAACCACTACATTGCAGTCCCGATTATGATTGCGCGCCCCAAATGAACCCTTCAAAAGGTCTCTCCAAGGCAACTGCCCCGAAGAACACACCTCACTCAGACCTGCTTTCTATCAGTGACTCGGAAGCAACCCGGAAAGTTTCTTTGGCATGCTTAGCTCAAGGACCTGAGCTTCGTCGCCAGGAAAGGATTGGGAATAACGATGTTGTCCACAAGCGTGTTCCTGAGACTCTCGGAAACACAACAAAGAAAAAAAGATATAAACAAAATCCCTCTCCAAGCCTAGAAACTAAACCAAAACAGCTCCCTGTTCCAATCCCTTCTCGCTCACTGCTTAAATCAAGCCCCTCCCTTGTCAATACGGTTGAAACGGCGTATGACCAACTATTGAAGGCAAGTGTCCGATCCGAGTTGGCCTTAGATTCCCAACAAACTTAGCATGCTGCATGGCCGCATGTACCAACTGTCAAATGCCGTGGCTTTCAACAATTCTTCTTCGACAGAGCAAGCCCCGGCGTTCTAGGATGACCCATTCAGACCAACTCTTTAGCCCGGAGGGTAGGTCGCTGGAAGAGGTAGCTGGTAGCTCAAGTAAGCTACTACATATGGCCGCAGGATAGCTCATGCTCGCACAAATCATTTGGTTCCTAGATATTTAAGGGAACTAAAACATCTTTTTCTCCTCAGTCTTCTTCTTCTTCTTGATACTCTTCAAAGTGGAACATCTTGCATAGGGCTGTGATCCTGCCTCGTAGATGGTCGGAAGGTCAATCCAGGTGTAGCCATTCCTCATTGCAGACTGACGTGTCTTACTAAGTCGTTCTCATCTGAAAGTTAGTCGCGCCTGGTGTAGCTGAGCGAGAACTTGCTCACCTTCACGTCAGGGGAGGTACTTCACATTTATATACACACATCTAGACACAACTGATGTAAATAGTGTCCCATAAAAGCAAGACTGAGAGAGCTAAGATGGCGGTGGCTGAATCATACCCAAGGCACCCATTGGAATACGTCTGATCGCCCAAGGGTCTGGATTCGTTCGATCCTGGGGCAACAAAGAAAACGACAGTACGGTGGCGAGGGCTTGCAGGGTTTGCAGCCCATCCTACACAAGATTTGATGCCTGTGCTTCAGCCAAGCAGCAACATGTCAGTCCCAAAGTCAAACTGGATGTAAGTGTTCCATACCACGATCTTGTTGCAAAACCTGAGCTAAGCCCCTGCATCCATCATCCCAACATGCTTCCACCCTTCGGCCTTGATACTCTCTCACACACAAGAAAGTGATAGCTGTCGTCCAGTGACTGACCACTGCCATCCAAGCGCATGTACTCCGGCTTGTTGGCCGCTGCAATTGGGAAATTCCTAAGGATCGCTTAAGTGTCGTTCCAAGCTTCTAGATACTAGAAAGCTTTATTACTAAGATGCTTCAATGACATACTAAAAAGCGTCTTGTCACTACAGGTGAAACGATTTGCAGTGAAACGATTCCCAAGGAAGCTTCTAGTTACTAGAAAGCTTAATTCCAAGAAGCTTCAAAGACATACTAAAAAGCTTCTTGTTACTACAGGTGAAACGATTCCCAGCGAAAGGATTCCTCAGGAAGCTTCTAGTTAATAGAAAGCTTTATGTATTACTAAGAAGGGGCCTTGCCAAAGAAGCCCTTATCTTTTCTTTCCTCTCTCAGACTGCTCTGTTTTGCACAAAGATTGACACGCCTCTTGGCGCTAACTTTAAGGTCTCTGCTGCGTGATGTTTGCATCAGGCAAATATGGGTCAGCATTGGTGCCAACAATTGAATGAGAGACCTGCAGACCAAGCAAAACTGCTCTCGGTGGAGGACATGGGCTCAGACTCTGGCCGATCTGGAAAAAAATGCAAGTAACAGAAACTGCAAGTTGCTTGCAAGTGTTTTCTTGCAACTGCATCTGCAACACTTCCAGTCTTGCACCACCCTCTCGTCGAGTCAGAAACAGGGTCGTACCTACAAGTACACCTTCTTTAATCTGGCATCCCAAAATCGTTTTCCGACATTTGTCAAACACAAGCCCTTTGGCCTTGCAGCTGGAAGGAATAGGTTCCTTAGTTGCTGTGGCAAACATTACCCCAAAGAACTCCTGACTTAAGAAGATTGCCAATCATTGGACGATGTAAGGCCAAGCATCTGTGGCATAGAGGTTAAGGTTCACAAAGTTGTGTGCTGACGTGGGTCGTGTCAAGTAGGTGAAGCCTATCGGAAGCTGAAGCTGAAGGCATCTAGCTTCAACCAGGACTGGTGACTCATTTGTATTCAACCTGTGCACGCTGCACACCTGTAGATGTTGTGGAACTTGATGTTGTACTTGTCTCAGTCCTGACTCAAAGGGTACAGCAAAGCGATTTCTCACTTCTCCTTCAATTGCTAATTTCAAGGACCTCGATTTCGGCTGGCAAGTTAGTTCAGCTCACCTCGTTGTGGCCGTAGAAGAGGTAGATGTTTGCGATGTACTCGTGCTCGTGCCAGTTCCAGTTGTCGTTGTTTGACATTCAGACCTGCAACGGTTTGTCAAGAATACTAATACATGGGACAATGAGTTGCATTTCACGTCACTGCGTGTCTAAGAACCACGGCCAATAGCGCTCGAGGTTAAAGAACGCTAAAACGCCACAGATGGGCAGCTCGCAGCGTGTCGATTCTGTGCCCTGTGAATGTGCCCGCCAACCAAATGCTCCGCAAGAACGTTTGTTCAGCTCAGGTTTCGACACATTTGTAGCATTGGTACAGTCAATCGTTGTATTGTCAACCTGAGCATCACGGTGAGGGATTGAAAGCAGGGTTTCACTGCAGATGCGTCATTGACTAGAACTGTGCACCTTAGCGCCTTGATCATCATCCCATTCCATGCATCCACGGTTCCACACGCGAAAGCCAAAATTGGATGAAGTGGATCCATGATTCTCCAGTCTATATATGTATAACTTATAGTCCAATAAGTTCAGACACAACCTCAAATCTTTCAACAATTGGAAACAAGATTCACGATTTAAGATCCTAAAGTCCCAAGAGTCCCAGGCTCCATTCTTTCATGTGCAAAGAGGTTTGAAGACAGCCTCTAGTCAAATCAATAAAGTTATTGGTTTGAAGCTGCCGGCAAGACCTTTTCGAAATTATACCTTTCCAGTTGTGATGCAATTGAATGCTTGCACAAAGTAACCTAAGGAACCATTCGAACCATAGACTGCCTACGGCAGAGCCTAGCTTTAGCCACCTTAGCCTCCAGCTGGAGCCTTGTGCATATCATACGTTTCCACACCACTCTTTATGTCAACTCTCTTGTCTTTCTTTTTCCCCAAATAGCGAGAGCTATTCGGGTTCCTACAAGTATCGGACGAGGTGTTTGTGTGCTCTTTGGAGGTGGGTGCTTGTGCCGTGCCGCTGCAGATTGCCTTTGCCAGATGCGTGGCTTCGGAACTTGGGTGCTGGTGCAGCTGCAGGGTGCTGCTACCAGGTGTTTGCAGTGTGCGCTTCGTGGATCCTGCATGCTCGTGTCGCTGCTATGCTGCTGCCCACAAATATTCTTCTATCTGTGGTGTGCTGACGTAATATTTATTCTAGCAATCTTTGGTTTTTGCATCTGTCTTCTTTTTCTTCTCTCAACTCTCCCAGTTGCATCGCTTGGTGTCGGACCGAAGCCAAACGTCGAGAGCCAGAGGCCTGCGAGGTGGATGAAAATGGCGATGAGTCCCAGCGACTCATAACTTGTCAACGTTTCAGATATATTCTCAGTACTTTGCCAAAAAAACCATCTATTGTCATCATCAAGAATCAGATTGGGAGTCCTCTGCAGCAAAATAGATGTAGTAGTGTGTGAGTAGGGTCCAATTTGCAGGCCTTAGTCTACACGCAACCAAGCGTGACAAGAGGAGCCTCGCCTCTGCTTAACTCACTGCAGCAGCGATGACAAAAAGAAGGTACAATCCTTTGTCCTACTCTGCTAGAAATTTCTAGAACAGGCTAGTGTCATCATGTGCTATCCGTGAAGCCACATATGAGTGCGATCCCCGCCACACATCGGATGGGTTTGGTTCTGTCAAGCATACTTCTTTGCGAAAAAAGACGGCTCATGACATGCAGAGAAGGTATTGCCCTCAGTATCCGTGTGTTGCTGCCGCCAGGTCCGTAGCGACAAGCACATGAATTGGCCTAATAGCGATGGCCTCCAACCTAGTAGCGATGGCCTCCAACCTAATAG